TCCTTCAATTTTTTTCCTAATCTACCTTGCTGGCTAATGGTAGTCTTGGGGCTGGTGGATTTTAAATTTTAGTTAAACCCTCTATAAAAAAAAAAAAAAATGAACACCATGCACTAACGAGTTAAATGGTTTCAGCATCCTAGCTTAGTAGGAGTTAGTTATACCAAAGAAGGTATGAAACTTAGTAATTAGTAATTCCAGTGGGAGGCCCAATTATTATTATTTTTTTTTTTTACAGAATATATTCTTCAAACTACTTAGATGTTCATCAAATTTCTAAACCTCAGTTTATGATTTCACATTAAATGTTAACATACGAAGCCTAGATCGTCAACGTTGTTTACCAAGATGGGGTCATCGGAGGATCCCATGGGTTTTCTTTTATTTCTCAGTGTTTGTTGCGGTAGATTACTCAAAATAAGGTTTCTGAAACTATATTTCAGCATATTTTGTTGAACAATATTTTGTTTATTTATTTCAGCAGTCGTAATAGTAAACAAAATATAATCCATGTACTCTTATTCACATTTTTATATTCCGATTGAATACAGTATAAAAGCAATTATATAATTTCGCTAAAATAAATGTTTGTCATGGAGTGGTTTCACAGTGGAGGCTTGTATTTGTACTAAGTCGGTCCTAAAATAGATTCGACGTGCAAAACGTTAGGAACTTGATATAATAGGTAATGACGCAGAGAAATCTAGTTGTGGTCGCTGATACTTTAGTATCCGACTAACGGTCGTCCGGCATCGACTGACTGACCGACTCACTGAGCGACTCACTTGTTACTGTTACTACTCCTACTTATTATAGGTGGGAGAGTCTATTAACTATAGAATAAGTGTGTTTCACTATAATAATGTTACAGATTCATCTTTTGCTATCGCTACAGTCCTTAGCATATGTCACAGTTGTGCTGGTCTTCATATGTGTCTCACAGACAAAACTTTGGCATTCACAGCAGATTGTGTTGAGTTTCTGCTCGTTGTTTCTTGAACAGTAGGGGCATCTTCCCCTCTTGCTGCTCTGCGTTTGCCCTGATGTTGATGGTGTGCTTTGGACAGCAGTGTTGTTGCACGGGACAAATACTCTCACAACTTCAACGGCTCTGACAACTGGAAGATGGAGAGTGTTTGGATTGCTTGCCCTGCGCAAAATGTTGGGCCTTGCCAGTTCCTTGCTTAACTCCAACAGGAATCGGCATCTGAGATTTTTCAGACGGTCGTTCCAGTCTTTGTTTGTCGATATCTAAATCATGAAAGTATTCAGAGCTCCAATAACTATCATGTTCATGAAAACTCTCAGAGGCCACCTTGAGGTACGTCCAGCCCAAGAATCTTCTCTTACTAATTTGTCTGCGTTCTCCAACCCGTCTTCAGCGCGGTTATATTCAAGTATCATGTTGGGCTTCTTGTGACTTTCGTTGGATACTGTATCATCAAGAAATTGAGTGGAAAAAAAACACAGACTGGTTTGCTTTTCTTTGGAACGTATCTGACCACTGCTACCCCATCTGAAAAGATGAATTTCGATGACAGACGGTTTCTACCATTTGCAGTTTCCATCATTTGCACCAGTGGCAGGTTTTTCTTTTTGCTTTCCATGTTTCTGTAATAGTAATGCTCTTCTGCAACAAAAATTCTACTGTTGGCACAGATGTAAAAAAAATCGTCCTCTACCAGATCCAAACAACGGTTCCATCAAGTCACATACTATGCAGTGTCCCAAGTTTTTCTCCGGTGCATTTTCTGGAAGCTTTCCAGTCTAGACTTGCAAGTTGTACAAATATGACGTCTTCACGTCTGAAGCTGCCCTGACCTCGATCCCATATTTTGCTGGTTTTGATTTCATGTACTGCGTCATTTGACATCTACCACGAAAGGCAACTAGTTGATCTACTCTAATGACTTCAAATAGTTTGAAAAGCTTCTTGTAATTTTCTACGAGCCAATCCCAAACAGCATGTATAACTGAAAGTTTACCATTTGCCTTCGTTGATCATCACGTGTTGATTTTAGGATAAACTAAAGGATGTGTGAAAATCTGTTCTGTCATGACGGCAGTAAAAACTGCACGGCGAATGTTCTCATCTGTTGTTCACATTTCAGAAATCGTTTCCTTTAGGCATCTAAGAGTTCCAGTAATCAGTAGGACACCAAAAACACCTATTATTTCCACAAGATCGACATCTATCTAAATTCTCACTCTGTTCGGAGAGGCATTTGCATTGAAATCTTGAACAACACTTGATGCTTACGTCCGACATAGTGGTTGCGGCGTTAGTTGCGGGTGTTGGTCCGGAAGATCCTTTGACAATGTCACATTGTCGACGGTGAGTCACCGGGGTCATGGAACTAGTCCATTTTTTTCCTGATTTTACAATGAATTCATCTTCATTGGAATCTCCATCAGAATTTTCGCTGGCAATGTCACTTTCATCAGAATTCACTTCAAGATAGTTTTCCGCTTCAGACGCATTTCCTTGTGGAATAAATTCTTCATCAAATTCGCCCAAGACATCATCCGGGTTATTTACATCGCGCTCATCCAGCAGGCGAACAATGTCATCATTTGAGATTTGTTGGCAGGACATTTTTCGAACTTTGCAACGTTCAAAACCTGTAAAAATGACAAGAAATGATAATCCAAATTTCTAACTGGGTATACCAAGCGGGATCCTGTCGGTAACTGTAGTTTAAATAAGTTTGTATTGCTACGACGTCACTTGTACAAATCAAGATACCGTTGGTTCAATTCGCCGTCCTTGCTTTCTGAACACGTCACAACGTATATCCGTCTTTCCTTCTGTCCTTTTCACTGCTTCAGCCGTCTTTTATCAGGCCAACACTGCGGTTGACCAACCAATAAGCGTTCTTCGCTTTTATTCTCAGTTACCCAGGCAAATAGTCTTCTCCAGTTCGACCAATCAGCACACGACTTGCTGTTGGTGGAAGCATGCCAAACTGTACAAAAACCTTTGTTACCGCACATACTGCTAGATGGGAGAGTAATGCCATTTTCATGGGGCAAACTTTGCCGATGTCACATGCCGCCCATTAAGGTAAGACCCTTATTTTCCTATGCACCAGATGCAAGCCACTCTGGCTCGCTTGCTTCTACGGGGCTGTTCACTACAGTAACCCAAAGGTGTTTTATTTTCTAACGTTTTTATGAAAGAATTTTAATAAATCTAATTATATTTATTTCACCTTAAACTGGTGCGGAACGCATACAAAAATCAAGAAAAAAAATAGTTGTTATAGTTACAACAGGATCACTAAAATTGTCACTCTGGGGTCCTCCGAGGACCCCCTTGGTATGTTAATGATGAATTGCAGCGAAGAATCCAAGGATTAGAAATTTGTTGCTTCAGAACTATCCTAGGTATCTCCTGGCTAAAAAATTCGAGGCGCATTGTAAGACCTCAAGACCGCCTTCAAGAAGAGAAAGTTGGAATGGTATAGACACATCAAGAGAGTCAACAATCTTTCCACTGCCATCCAACAAGGTACCAACTTAGGCAAAAGAAGACGAGGCATACAGGGGAAAATGGAGGGACAACGTCACTGAGTGAACTGGAAGGTTATTCACAGAGACTCAGACATTGGCATGTAACTAAGACATTTAAATAATAATAATAATAAGAAGAAGAAGAAGAAGAAGAAGAAATAAATTGTTGTCGTTAGAGTGGAAGAAAAATAAATACAAAATCAGCAAATATATATAATTAAAGAAAGTTGCATAAAATGTCGTTGGTATCCGTCTACCCAAGTTTTTGTTGTCGGGATTCCAAACAAACAAACAACAATAACAAAAACACATCTTTTAAATGAAACCTAAAAAGGGTTATTTTCTGAAGGAAAAGTAGAAATAACATTTATATCTTCTTTTCAGTGATATGCAATAGGAATAAAATGTTCAATCTTCCTTGCAGTGAAGTTTGCCTTATAAAGTAATTAAGTGTTCGTACTGCGAGGCGAGATATGGGGACAGACTTACTTTATACATTAGCCTAATGTATTTATGAGTGTGTAGACAAAGGCTTAGTCGGCAGCTTCTGGCTTATGTTTTCCATTGTGTGTGTGTGTGTGTGTGTGTGTGTGTGTGTGTGTGTGTGTGTACGCATGGGTCGATCAAACTGACCTCTGAAATTGTTTTGAACCTTGAGAAACAGTAGGCGTCTATTTTTATATCAGTAAGGGGGATCCGGAATCTAATTTCTCATAGAGGTGTAAAATTTTTGAATACAAGATTTTCATTAGTTAGAAAATAATTTCACACTGGCTCGCGAAAATCTTTTTCTCGAATTTGCGGGAGTGGTGAACGGAGTTATTGTTATTTTCTAAAGGGTACAAAAATAACACGTGGTAGATCTACAGCTATGCCCGCCAAGTATTTTGGCGGTATTTGCCCTAGTAATTATTGTTTATCAAACAAAACTTTTGATGGAATTTTATTGGTTGAAAAATATATATAGGATTTAATGTCCATAATATAAAATATTTAAGAATAAGTGCCAAATGTACTAAAGGGAGTGGTTAGGCGCTCAGCTGCACAGTGCCTATATGACTATGACTGGTTATGGGACTGATGATGATGATTATGATGATGATGATGAATATTATGCATTAAAATAGAACTGTTTAGTTATTATTTCATTCAGCAAACGGATGAATTAAAAATAATTAAACATGATTAATCAATTAATTGATTGATTATCAACCGACTACCTGCCATTCATTTTCTTCCTTGAGCATTTAAAATGTTTTTAAAACAACAAGGGAATAGAAACTTACTGGCAAGTGGCACAGGAATTACATGGTGGAATTTGAGTCAGAAATTAACTGATTTGAATTTTGTAGTTTATCTCCACCTATTTCTAACTAAAATAAGTTATGTAAAGAACTATGTTACTTGTTTCAGTCATTGAGTACGTTGGCTGAAATCTTCTCTAAGCAGAATTAGTCAATTAGGCACATGACATCATGATGCAGTCGTTAATCAAAATACAGCAACAAAAAGAGAAAAAGAAAGCATGATAAAAAGACAAACGAACAAGCAAGCAACTCACTCGATGACATCTTAAGAAAGAAAAAAACAGACAGAAAGATAAAGAAAAATAAAAAAAAGAAAGTTTGAAAGAGGACATTTGAAGAAATAAAAAATTGACAGAAAGATAAGGAAAAAGAAAGGCCGAAAGAAATAAAGAAATAAAGAAAGAACGAACGAAAGAAGGAAAAGCTTAAAGAAAGAAAGAAAAATAACTCGCTCAACATTTTAAGAAAGAAAAAGACAGACTGAAAGATAAAGAAAAAGAAGAAAGGAAGGCTGAAAGAAAATGAAAGATAATACACTCGATAGAATTTTAAGAAAGAAAAAGACATTAGAAGGAAAAAGAAAGAAAGAAAGAAAGACGGAAAGAAAAATGAAAGAAAGAAAGATGGGAACAAAACTCACTCGATGCCAATCTTATGCAAGAAATCGACAGGTATAAGAAAGAATGAACAGCTAAAAGAACAAAGATGGAAAGAAAGAAAGGCTGAAAGACAGCAAGAAAGAAAGACGTAAAAAAGAAAGAAAGACGGAAAGAAAGCACACTCAGTGCCATTTTATACCAGAAATAGACCGACATAAAGATAGAGGGAAAGAAAGAACGTAAAGCTGACAGAAGAAAGATGAAGAGAAAGAAAGACGTAAAGAAAGAATGATGCAAAGAAAATAAAGGTGGAAAGAAAGTTCACTCAATGCCGTTTTAAGAAAGAAGAAAGACAGAAAGATAGAGAAAAAGAAGAAAGAAAGAAACATTAAGAAAAACAAACAAAAAGTCAAAGAAAAATTATCGTAAAATAAAAACAGACAAAAATTCAGTCGGAAAGTCAAAGAAAGAAAGACAAAATAAATGAAAGACATAAAAAAAGAAGGAAAGAACAACAAGAAAAGAAAGATAAAACAATGAGAAGGGAGAGAAAGAAAAAAGAAAAATGTTTAGTCAAAACAAATTACAGTTTGTTTGGTATTCTAAACACAAAAACAATTTGATATTCTTTACGTAATACATTCTCTCGGTAAGTATTATATTGCACACTGTTTTTCACTGGTCCTTGTCAAGGTCAACATTGAGTGCAACAGGTTTTTACAGCTATTACTGCCTGGCCCATAGTGATGAGTTAGTGTGTAGTGGAAAGTTTGATGGTTACCATTTATTTAATGGTGTTGACGACCCAAATCAATCCATAGAATTTTTTTACTCTACGAATATGTTAAGCAAAAGGCAAAAATAACTAGAAAAAAAAAAGAATCATTTGTGATTGAAGACAAAAGACAAATATTTGAATAACAAGTAATTTTCAATGTATTTTTTGTAATAAAAATATTGTTACGGGACCGATAAGGAATGTCGCCCCCGCAAGTTTTTAACGAAAAAAGGTGTGAACAGCTAAGACAGTGAGGAACAAAGACAGAGGTCTAGAATAACAAACGTCGGATTTGTTTGTCGATCTGGACAAATGTAGGTACAGGAATTGTTTGGCGTAGTTCGATCGTGAAGTCAGGGAGTGCCAGTTGAAGGATCGTTGTTAGGGTTCAAGGCGGCAGCTCCGAGGCAGGCAGATTGAACAGCAGTATTCGAGGTCCAGTCGATCCCCGGATGTCTGCGCTTTTGTAAAGAGCGCGTCGGCGTTTAAGAAGAGAGAGGATCGGCGCAGACGGTGCTGGTGTAGCCTGTTCGTCCTTAGAATGACAGTCGTGTAAGAACGCAGCTTGGTAGTTCTAAAAAAGGACTGTCGCAAACATGTAGCCAGGTTAGTCCTGAAAAGAACTATCGCATATCATGTGGCCAGGCTAGCCCTGAAAAAAAAACTATCGCATATAATGATCGGCTGTTGCTGTTGCTGCTGCTGAGGTTGGGTCGAGGTTAGTCCTGAAAAGGACTATCGCATATCATGTGGCCAGTTTAGTCCTAAAAAGGACTATAACATATAATGTTCGTCTGCTGAGGTTGGGTCGGCCTGCTGCTGCTGCTGAAGTTGGGTCGACCCGCTGCTGCTGCTGAAGTTGGGTCGGTCCGCTGCTGCTGCTGAGGTTGGCTGCTTCGTGTGGTCAGCGGCGAAGGTAGGCCAGGTGAAGGTAAGAGAGGGAGGACGTTGCTCTACCCCGGGGCCAAATCAGCCGAGTTGGTTTGGTGGAAGAAATCGGCTGTGTTTATGTCGACTGCGTTTAGCATCGTAGCCAGTTGGCAATGTCTTTTGGTTGGTGACTAAAAATTACCTTCCGCATTTTGACTGTACACATCGGTTTCATTCGGACACCATGTGTATATAAAGTAGTTTCTGGTAATTATTTTTAGTTAGGAGGACTTGTGTATGTTTATGTTTCATTTGTTTTGCTTTTTGTGTATCGTTCTCTGAAAAACGCTGAGTCACCAGAAGTTAACGGCATTCGTTCTGTTTCCGCGTGACGCTTTCAGACGTTTGAGTAGCCGGCAGTAACTTCCGGCCGTGTGCGATAATATCTTACAAAAATATAGTCGATTTTTTTTAAGTGAAATCTTGTTAGTTTAATTTATGTTGAACTTAAGGTTGGTGAAAGATTAAATTTTGTTAATGATTTCTAATTCGAAAGGTTTTTTGTTAGAATCTGTTATTGAAGATTCTGTAAATTAATTGCAAGAGAAAAAAATTTACTGTTCATGTAAGTAGTAAATGTATATAAAATTGATTGCAATTTGTGATCAAAGAAGTTATCTACCTTTGATTGTTTTGTGTAATACAGTGTTCTCGAATGTTGAGAAATAAAGTTGATTTGTTAGCAGGAATTTGTTTAACTTCTCCGTAAGGAATTTGGTGAGTGAATGGGAATAGAGGTCACTGGTGAGTTCTGGCGAGTGAGTGTGAATATCGTTAAGTTTGTATAATGTTCGTATGAACGAAAAACTTAAAATTGTGTGACGTGAAGTTTAGTTGTAATTCGTTTGATGTCACTGGCGAGTGTGAATGAGTTTCTGTTTTTATTTGCTTCGGGTGGCTCACAGAGACTTGGCGCGAACTTGGATTTCAGTCACGATCTGTAAAAATTAGTTAAGCGTGGGTGGATAGTCACGCCGACTTGTATATTTATTAACCAATGAGGGCTCGAGATTTTTTTGAAAGTGTATGAAGTTGACAATGTGCTGATCCACTTTTTGCACAGATTTGACCTATTTTGGGTATTGGAATAATGTAGAATTTGGGTTCTACAAGTGAGTCAAATAAAATTCTTTACTTAATAACCATTATAAGAAATGCTAATTGCAAAATAAAATTTTAATGCTTTCTAAATTTTGATAGCGGAAAATTAATTAAACTGAAATAAGAACGGTTTTGTTTATTCTTACAATTAAAAGAATATCCCCAAATAAGCGATCTATAATGATGTATATGCATATACTGGGAACACACTCCCTGCACTAATAGAAAATGCACCCAGTTTTAGAGTCTGTTTAGCGGCATATCAACACCTTATGGGTCATTTAATGCTGAAATTTAATTTTCTTGGGGGCATTAGTAATTTCTTTTACAAAAAAAAAATCTTGAAGAAGTGACTTGAAGCAACAGAAATGTGGTTCTGCAAAAAGATGCAGAGGATACCATGGAGCGTGCATATGAGCAACGATGAGGTTTTAGAGAAAGTGGAAACAAAAAGAAAACATACTTAACAGGAAGACACAGTTGAAATTTCTGGAGCACATAATGAGGAAGGACGGGTTGGAAAATCTGTTACTCAGAGGACAGATTGAGGGCAAGAAAGGCAGAGGAAAACAACACATAATATACTAAACAAGTTTGTGAAAATGAATGGTAGAATAGGGTTTTAAAATAAAGAAAAGATATAATTTATTTAGAGCTGCAAGGGACAAGAAATTGTGGAGAGCCATTATCGCCTATGGCCTATATCTATCTTTGAATGTGTGTGCGTGTGTGTGGAACATCGTAAAATATTGTAGAAAAAATTCAATAGATTTAAGTAATATCACTAAAATCTCAATTCTGTGCAGAAATAGGCTCACAGAGACATCAACTCATTTTTGTGGAAATGTAGGCTCACACGTGCTTCAAATCCAAATTTCCACATTAGCATTTATCAACCAACTAACGACGTTATCTCAAACGCCGTTCAAGCTTTCAAAAAGCAGATGCCCTTTTTCAGAAATTTAAAGGCTCATTATTAACAATTTCTTCCCTCCTAAAAATAGAAATTAAAAATTGGGAAATATATTAATTAATCAATAAACTTCTGAGTTTGGTAAATCCAACTTTTAACTTCCTGTGATCTGAGTTTTTCTTATAAATAGCGTTGCGTAAATTAAAAAAAAAACAAAAAAAATCCCAAAATCCCGTTTTTTCAGTATAAACCGAATGTAGACAGGGAATGTAGACAATACTGATTAATCACCTTTTGTATAATTTATTGAGTTATAAGTACCTACATTGAAATAATTTCTCTCTTTTAAAAACATTTCATACAACATGAAAAACGTACGAGCGAGATATATAAACAAAGTGAATTTTAGCAATAGTAACACTATAGCGCACATTGGTTGTCTGCTGGAAATTACAGGTAGACATAAAATAACGTAAATACGAAATTTTCACATGAAGTCGTCACCTACACCATTTCACTCATACTAACGCAATTCAATTATTCGTTTTGTAAAAAGAAAAACATTTTTGTTGGACTTTGTTTACGAAAACATGGTAACCTGTTTCATTCAACTTGAAAGATAACAAATGTTATTTCTATACACAATAATAGAATTATTTGAATTTGTAGAGCCTCGTTTAAAGATTACTTCTTTTTTTCGCTTTTCGCACACTTTTTCCTCTGCACATATATAACAGACCCAACAGACGAAAAATAGAGAAACGCATACCGTCAATCTTCTATTAAGGGAAATTACTGAAATTTATTTGATAGCAACCAATACGTGTCTCCCACCCCCACACCCCCGTAAAAGTGTCACTCAGGGCGGACGTTCTCTATCTCTAGCTATGTTACTGCCTATATCAAATAAGGAATAAATAATTTTTGTGATGTCAACGAACACACATTGCCACTTTTGTGATGTCAACGAATACTCGCTGTCTCTTTCGCAATGCTCGTTGTAGTAGAGACTTTGTAATCGCAGATAAAACTATAGTAATGCCGTTGAACAATACTGGTGTCAGACGCCTTCGAATATCACTCTCACTAATAGTACTTGCTCGATAATACTTGCTCGAAAAGTAACCACCAAATAGGGATCCAAATAGTAATCCGTATCGTGATCACTTAGACGCACGCTAATTCTCATATATACATTTCCTTTACCATCATGTGATCTACATATTCAAAATGGGATCGCCTCTTTTTGCTCTCTAGTGATCTGTGTTCAAACACCAGTGTCGGCAGCGACACTTTATTCCTATATAACAGTAATCAATAAAGGCCATTTGGGAATTACCTTTGAAAAATATCAATTAACTGTTACGTAACAATAATACCAAACTGTTGACTTTAATAACAGTTGACTGTCAATTATAATTGATTACACAAAGCTGTATATTCAATGCTTATGCTTAAAAAGCTGGGGGAGGTGATAATTCAGCTGACAGGCCACCATTAATAGAAAATAAGTTCATTTTTTTTAATCATTTCACCTCAAGCAAGGGAATAAAACCACTAGGACACAAGAGGTTACTGAATGTTAGAGAATATGAGAAAAATATACTATTAAGGATAAAGGACAATAAAAGAACAAGAATTAAGAAGACGGCAATAACGATTGATATTACCCGAATATTATTGAATATTATATGATATTACCCGAATATTATTGAATATTATATTAAAGAGCCTTTTGTTGCTTTTTTTTTCTTTGTGTAGTGGTCTATATT